GCCAGAAAGGACGGAGCCGGAAAGGATGGAGCCGGAGAGGAAGGGCGGGGCGGCTGAGTGCCTGAGTGCCTGGCTGGTGTTCCCTAGCAGGAAGGAGATAAACGCTCCGACTGTGATGGGCCCCACTTCTGACTGCTCTGAACCCCAGTTCTAGGCCAGGCCCCGGGGACCCAGGCTCATCCATAGGGAGCTGGGCTGCGAGGCGGAACCCTGGGGAAGTGGCGAAAGGAGGTCCTGGAGGCGCACACATTGCGCGCAGAGAAGGGATGGTCGGCCGTGCCGTGGGACTGCCCTGGCGGGAAGGAGACAGGGGCTCCAGACTGCTCTGAATGCCACCTCCAACTCCACTTCCAACTGAACTGAACCCCAATACCAGGCTCATTGGGGGAGAGCATAGACTGTTTGGCAGCAGGCAAAAATCGAGGGCACCTTTCTCTCAGAGTTGCTGGCAGCAAGTACTGAAGGACCCGCATAGGGCGGGGTTGATGGAAGCCAAGGCTGTAGGCTTCATCCTGAAACCCCGCCCCATCTAAACAGAACACAGAGACTTTTAAGGCTACCAACTCAAGAAAGCTGTGAAAATGCCAAGACAAAATAGATCATAAACGAAAGAAATGGAGGACAAAAAGCAACTGGATATAGAGTTCAAATCTACGCTTATAAGGTTTTCCAAGAATTTCCTAGAAAAGATGGATAAGACCTATGAGGATATGAAAAGGGATCAACTAGAATTAATTAAAGAATCAACAAGAAATGATAAGGGATCAACAAGAAATAAAGAATACATTGACTGAAATAAAAAATATTATACAGAGTCCTAAAAACAGAATAGAAGTTCGCAAGAATCAAGTCAAAGATTTGGAACATAAAGAGCCAGAAGACACTCCTCCACAGAAGCTAGAAGGCAAGAGAGTCCAGAAAATTGAAGATAATGTAAGAAACCTCTGGGACAACTTCAAGCGAACCAACATCAGAATTATGGGGGTTCCAGAAGATGAGAGAGAGCAAGATATCGAAAACATACTGAAAGAAATAGTGACAGAAAACTTCCCCCACCTGGTGAAAGAATTAGACTTACAAGTCTAGGAAGCGCACAGAACTCCAAACAAAAGGAGTCCAAAGAGTACCACACCAAGACACATCATAATTAAAATTCCAAGAGCAAAAGACAAAGAGAGAATATTAAAAGCAGCAAGAGCAAAGAAGGTAGTTACCTATAAGGAGCACCTATACAATTGTCAGCTGATTTCTCAACAGAAACCATGCAGGCCATATGGGAATGGCAAGAAATATTCAAGGTGATGAATAGTAAGAACCTACAGCCAAAGATAATCTATCCAGCAAAGCTATCACTCAGAATCGAAGGTCAGATAAAGAGCTTCACTAATAAAAAAAAGCTAAAGGAGTTCATCAACACCAAACCAGAATTATATGAATTGCTGAAGGGGGTTCTTTCAGAAGAGAAAGTAAATAAAGATAAAAATTATGAACAACAAATACGTAACTATCAACAAGTGAATCTAAAAACCAAGGAAATTAAAAAAAAAATCTGATGAACAATATTAACTGTTGAATATAATAGAATCAGAGGTATGGAAGGGGAGTGAACTGTTTATTCTTGGGGAAAAGGGGAGAGGGGATGTGGGAAAAGACTGAACATAACTGTGCACCTATGGATGAGGACAATGGGGAGTGGGGAAAGGGTGGAGGGTGGGGTGGGAACCTGGTGGAAGAGAGCAATGGTGGGGGGGGAAAAAGGAACATTTGTAATAATATGAACAATAAAAATTTATTAAAAAAAATAAATTAAAAAAAAATGACAATCTCACCTAATAATAGACAAACATGTAAATTGACCGTACCTCCAATACGATCAGGAGTGATATGCAAATTAACCCAACAAAGAGGCAGTCAATTTGCATACACAGTCGCCCAGTGAACACAGGAGCTTGCATTCTGCCCCACCCCCGGTCTCTCAGGGCCTCTGTGCAGCATGGGAAGGCCGGGCTGGAGCAGAAAGAGGCGGCTCCTGGGCTTGAGCGGAAAGGGGCAGGCTGGGCCGGAGTGGAAAGGTGGTGCAGGCAGCCAGGGAAAGGAAAGCCCATTCTAGCACGAATCTTTGTGCATCAGGCTTCTAGCAAATATATATCTATCCATATTCACTTTAAGTGTAAATGGCTTAAATGCTCCAATCAAAAGACATAAGGAAGCTGCTGAATAAGAAAATAAGACCCATATATATGCTGTCTTCAAGAGACCCACAAAAAAAAAAAAAGAACCCACCTCAGAATAAAAGATACGCACAGACTGACAGCACAGAGATAGAAAAAGATATTTCATGTAAATGAAAAAAGAGAGCTGGGGTAGCAATACTTATGTCTGACAAAAGATACTTTAAAACTAAGGTTATAGTAAGAGACCAAGAAGGAAAGCACATAAAGATAAAGGGAGCCATGCAACAAGAGGACCTCACCCTTATAAACATTTATGCACCCAAAACAGGAGCACCGGAGTGTGTGAAGCAAATCTTGGTGGACATCAGGAAGACTTGGACAGCAATATAAATAATAGTAGGGGGTTTTAACACCCTTTTGACATCAATGGATAGTTTTCCAGACAGAGCATCAACAAGGAGACAGCGGCCTTACAAAGTAAACTCTAGATTAAATGAATTTAATTTATGTCTTCAAAGCATTTCACCCAAAGCAGCAGAATAGACACTCTTTTCCAGTGCATCTGGGATGTTTTCTAACATAGACCACATGTTAGACACAAAGCAGTCTCAATAAATTTAAGAAGACTGAAATCATATCAAGCATCTTCTCTGACCATAATGCTATGAAATTCAATACCAATCACAAGAAGAAAACTGGAAAACACACACAGACATGGAGGTTAAATAACATGTTACTAAACCAAGAGTGGGTTACCTATAAGATCAAGGGAAAAATCAGATGATACCTTGAGACAAATGAAAATGAGAACATCACAACCCCAAATCTGTGGGACACAACAAAAACAGTCCTAAGAAGGAAAGTCACAGCATTAGAGGCCTATCTCAAGAAACAAAGAAAAGCTCAAATAAACAATGTCACTTTTTCACTTATGTGAACTCAAAGAACAACAACAAACAAAGCCCAGAGTGAGTAGAGGGAAGGAAATAAAATATATCAATGCAGAAATAAATGAAATAGAGTCTAAAAAATATGAATGATCAATGAAACCAAGAGCTGGTTCTTTGAAAAGATAAATAAGATTGACAAACCTCTCACCAGACTCATCAAAAAAAAAAAAAAAAAAGGAGAGAGAGAGAGAGAGAGAGAGAGAGAGAGAGAGAGAGAGAGAGAATCAGAAATGAAAGAAGAAATAACACTGACACCAAAGATATGCAAAGGATTGTGAGAAAATATTGTAAACAATTATAGGCCAACAGATAATCAGGGTGAAATGGAAAAATTTCTAAAAACTACAATTTTCCAAAACTAAATCAGGAAGAATCAGAGAATCTGAGGAGTTAGTTTACAATTGATGAAAGTGAAGCTGTAACCAAAAACTCCCAACGAACAAAAGCGATGGACTGGACGGCTTTAAAAGTGGATTCTACCAAACATTCAAAGAATTAAAACCAGTCTTTCTTGCCTTGGCTGACGTGTCAGCTCCCGCAACCAGGGTCACCAGTTTGATTCCCAGTTAAAAGCATGTGCCTGGGTTGCAGGTTTGCTCCATGTCCCCAGCTGAGGTGGGTTCAGGAGGCAACCAGTTGATGTGTGTGTGTCTCTCACATTATGTTTCTCTCTCTCCCTCTCCCTCTGAAAAGCAATGGAAAAAATTCCTTAGGTGAGAATTAACACACACACACACACACACACACACACACACACACACACACCCCATGCAAAAAAACAACAACCATTCTTCTCAAACTATTCCAAAAAACTCAAGAGTAGGCAAGACTCCAAAGCTCATTCTATGAGTCCAACCTTATCCTACTTCCAAAACTAGGTAAAACATGACAAGGAAAGAACATTATAGGCTAATATTCCTGATGATAATAGATGTTAAAATCCCAGGGATTCTAGTTTGGTAAAATATTTGCTAATCAGGAAATGTGACACATCACATAAACCAAATGAAGGATAAAAAATACATGATCATGTCAACAGATGCAGAAAAGGCATTTGATAAGACACAGCACCCTTTTATGATAAAAACTCTCAGCAAAGTGGAAAAAGAGGGAACATTCCTCAGCCTATTAAAGTCCATGTCTGGCAGAGCCACAGCCAGCACCATATCCAATGGGCAGAAACTACAAGTATTCCACTTAAGACTGGGAACAAGGCAGGTGTATTTGTTTTCATCACCCTTAATCAGCACAGTACTGGAAGTCCTAGCCACAGCACTCAGGCAAGAAGAAGGAATAAAAGGCATTCTAATTGGAAAGAAAGAAGTAAAACTGTCATTATTCACAGATGATAACATAATGTATATAGAGAACCCTGAAGATTTCTCCAAAAACTACTAGAACTGTAAATGAATTCATTAATGTAGCAGGATGCAAAATAAATATCCAAAAAATCAGTGATATTTTTATACAAATTTTATATAAAGAACTGTCAGAAAGTGGCACTGAAAAAACAATTCCATTCACAATTGTGTCAAAAAGAAAAATATTCTTAGGAATAAACTTAACTGATTTAAAAGACCTACGCTAAGAAAATGATAAGACACCAAAGAAGGAAATTGAAGAAGATACAAATAAGTGAAAGCATATGCCATGCTCATGGATAGAAATAATTAACATCATTAAAATGTCCATACTACCCAAAGCAATCTACAGATTCAATGCAATTCCTATCAAGATACCAACAATTTCACAAAAGTAGAGCAAATATTCCAAAAATTTATATAGAACCCCAAAAGACCCCAAATAGCAATAGTGATCTTGAGAACAGAGAACAAAGTTGGAGAAATCATACTGTCGTATCGAACAACGCTACCAGGCCATAGTAATCAAAAGGGCATGGTACTGGCATAAAAACAGACCTATTGATTGGTGGAAGAGTACAGAGATCCCAGAAATAAACCCACAACTTTATCGCCAATTAATACTTGACAAAAGAGAAAAAATCATACAATGGGATAAAGATAGTCTATTCAATAACTAGTGTTGGGAAAATTGGACATATATGTTAAAAAAAAAAGAAATTAGACAACTTTCTTACACCATACACAAGAATAAACTCAAAATGGATTAAAGACTTAAATGTTTGGCTCAAAATCATAAAAATCCTAAAAGAAAACATAGGCAGTAAAATTGCATGTATTTCTGGTAGCAGTATATTTTTTCTGATATGTCTCCTTGGGCAAGGTAAACAGAATAAAAATAAACAAATGGGACTACATCAAACTAAAGAGTTTTGCACAACAGAGGAAATCATTAAAAAAAATTAAAAGACAACCCACTGAATGGGAGAACATATTCGCCAATGATACATCCAATAGGGGTTAATATCCAAAATTTATAAAGAACTTATAAAACTCAACACCAAAAAAATAATCCAATTAAAAAATGGGCAAAGGATCTGAATAGTCACTTCTCTAAACAGGGCAGACAGATGCCAATAGACCTATAAAAAGATCCTCAATGTGCTGAAACCGGTATGGCTCAGTGGATAGAGCGTCGGCCTGCGGACTGTAAGGTCTCGGGCTCGATTCCGGTCAAGGGCATGTAACTTGGTTGCGGGCACATCCCCAGTGGGGGGTGTGCAAGAGGCAGCTGGTCGATGATTCTCTCTCATCAATGTTTCTAGTTCTCTATCCCTCTCTCTTCCTGTATGTGAAAAACAATAAAATATATATTTTTAAAAAAAGATCCTCAATGTTATTAACCATAAGAGAAATGCAAATCAAAACCACAATGAGATATCACCTCATACCCATCACAATGGCTGTCATCAATGAATCATCAATAAATCAACAAACAGCAAGTGTTGCTGAGGATGTGGGGAAAAGGGAGCACTTGTGTACCATTGATGAGAATACAGACTGGTGCAGCAATTGGTGCAGTTTGGAGTTTCTTCAAAAAAAAAAAAAAATGGGTCTGGCTGGTGTAGTTCAGTGGGTTAGAGCACTGTACCTGCACTGGAAGGTCATGGGTTCAATTCCCAACCAAAGAACATACCTGGGTTGTAGGTTCGATCCCTGGACCTGGTCAGAGTGAGGCAACCAAACAATGTGTCTCTTTCACATCTTTCATATCTCTCTCTCTCTCTCTCTCTCTCTCTCTCTCTCTCTCTCTCTCTCTCTCTCTCTCTCTCTCTTCCTTCACCTCTCCTTTCCTCCCTTCTGCTCTCTCCACAATCAATGCAAAAAATATCCTCAGGTGAGGATAAAATAAAATTAAAAATGGAACTGCCTTATGACCCAGCAATTCCACTTCTGGGAATTTATCTGAAGAAGCCCAAAACACTATGCAAAAGAATATAAGAATGCATGCCCCCTATGTTCATAGCAGTGTTATTTACAGTAGCCAACATCTGGAAGCAGCCCAAGTGCCCATCAGTACTTGAGCAGATAAATAGCTGTGGTACATGTACACAATGGCATATTGCTTGGCCATAAAAAGAAGAACATTTTATCTTTTGCAACAGCTTGGAGATAGACCTGGAGAACATTGTGCTAAGTGAAATAAGCCAGTCAGAGAAAGACAAGTGCCGCATGATTTCAGTCATATGTGGAATTTAATAAACAAACTGAATTAACCAGCAAAATAAAGACAAACTCATAGATGAAGGGCAGGCTGACAGCTCTGGAGAGAGAAAACTCTCAGATGTGGACAACAGTGTGGGGAAGGGAGCGGTTGGAGATGGTAGAAGGAATGAGGGGCGGGGGAATAAATGGTAAAGGGAAAATAGAATATAGAGAAAAAAATTAAAGGAATTCCCCTAAAAATTCCAAAAAAAGACTAAATATGAACTAAACTAACTACTCCAATGAACTTAACTCACTGTTCCAATCAAAGACAAGAGGTGGCTGAATTGATAACAATACAAGACCCAAATATATGCTATCTACATCTACCTACTTCAGACCAAAAAACACAAACAGCCTAAAGTAATGAGATTAAAAGAATTTCATGCAAATGAAAATAAAACAAAAGCTGGGGCAGCAATACTTATATCAGATAAAACATACTTTACAGGGTGTAAGGAGACAAAGGAAGACATTTACTAATTATAAAGGGTCAAGAAAATGAACAGATACCATTCTTGCAAGCATTCTACACCCAGTGCAATGCACCAAAATACATAGAGCAAATACCTGCAGGGAGAGATCAACAGTAGGAGACAAACACTCCATGGATAGATCATCTAGACTGAAAACTGGCCAGGAGCAGGCTTTAACTGACACATTAGACCTGCTGGACTTAATTGAGATGTTTGGAACATTTCATCCCTAAGCAGTAGAATATACATTCTTTTCCAGTAGAATATACATGAAACATTTTCCAGAAAGACCACATATTAGGCTACATAAATAAATTTAAGAAGATTAAAATCATATCAAGCATTTTCTCTAACCACAGTTATAGGAAAGTAGAAATCAATTAACAGGATAAAAGTGATAAACACACAAGCACATGGAGACTAAATAACATGTTACTAAACCATGAATGGGTTAATGAGATTGAGGAAGAAATAAAAAGACACCTTGAGACAAATGAAAATGGAAACACAACAATTCAAAATGTAAGGGACAGAGTGAAAGCAATCCTAAGAGTGAAATTCAAGCATTATAGGCCTACTGTAAGAAACAATAAAATTTAAAATATAAAATATAAACTTACACCAAAAGGAAATGGAGAAAGAACAACAAACAAAGCCCACAGTGAGTTGAAGGGGGAAAAAAAAGTATAAGGACCAGAATGAAAATAAACAAAATAGTATAAAGAAACCATACAAAAGATGAGTGAAACCAAGACCTGATTCTTTGAAAAGATAAATAAAATTGATAAACTTTTAGCCAGACTTTGCAGGAAAAAAGGAGAAAGGACCCAAATAAATAAAATCATAAATGAAAGAGGAGAAGTAACACTGACATAACAGAAATTCAAAGAATTGTAAGAAAATATCATGGAAAACAACAAGCCAACAAATTAAACAATCTGGAAGAAACAGATCAATTCCTAAAAACATACACTCTTCCAAAACTAAATAAAAAGAAAAAAAGAAAATCTGAACAGCACAAATAGATACAACTAATGAAAAAGCAGTAAAGCAGTAAATTAAAAACAAACAAAAAACCCGCTTTCAAACAAAACAAACAAACAAACAAACAAACAAACAAAAAATGCTTTCAAGCAAAAATGTCCTGGACCAGGTGGCTTCACAGGTAAATTTTACCAAAGACTCAAAAGAACTTGTACCCATCTTTCCCAAACTATTCAAAAAAATTCAAGAGAGAAAACATCCAAAGTCATTGTGTGAGGCCAGCATTATTTTAATTCTAAAACCAGATAAAGACACCACAAAAAAGGGAAATTACAGGCTAATATCCCAGAGAAACATACATGCAGAAATCCTCAACAAAGTATTAACACACCAAGTTCAGCAATTCTATCTAATAAAGAGGGAATATGCAAATTGACCATCACCCCATCACAAAGATGGCTGTGCCCACAACATAGGCGGGGTTTCCATAACACAAGATGGCTGCACCCACAGTAGAGGCTGAGTTCCCATAACAAGCCTTAAGGAGCATCAGCTGGGACCTGAGACTGCGTGGCCCTGGGCCAGGACAGGACATCTGAGCTTACGCCCCCCTGCCCGGCAGAGGTTGACAGGGGCCTTCAGGCCACAGTCCCCACACCGTGGGGCCTGACAGGGGACCTCAAGGTGCAACCTCCACCCCGGTGCTGAGCCGGGGAACCTCAGGCCAGGCCCCCATGCCGGTCTGGGGGACCGGAGGCTGTGTCCCCCACCTGGCAGGGGTTGATGGGGGACCTCAGACTGCACCCCCCTCCCAGTGGGATTTGATAGAGGATCTCAGGCCACATCCCCTGCCTGGCAGGACTTGACAGAGGACCTAGAGGTGCGCCCCCCACCCTGGTGCTGGGCTGGGGGACCTCAAGCTGCGCCACCTGCCCTGGCAATGGGATGGCGGATCTGAGGGTGCTCTGGGAGACCTAAGGCTGAGCCCCCCACCCAGTGGGGCTTGACAAGGGTGGGCTGGCCAGGTCTGGATCTTGCCCAATGTGGGGGAGGGCTGGCTGGGTCTGGGTCTCACATGATTTTGGGGTGCCGTGGGGGGGGGATTTATTCTGGGTCCTGCAGTGCACCCCAGACTCTGACAGGAGGAAGATTTTCATATACATTTTACTAATTTTCTTTAATTTCTGACACTTTTATTACAGAGAAAGGGCAAATAGCAATATTAAAATGTTTCCTCCAATTAATCCCCTTTTAATGTGCATGAATTTCATGCACCAGGCCACTAGTACATTATAAAGATCATTTATTACTGGAATACAAGGTTGGCACAACATCCAAAAATCAATTAATGTGTTATATCTCATAAACAAAATGAAAGATAAAAATCATAAGATCATATCAATAGATACAGAAAACACATCAGATAAAATACAGCACTCATCCTACCTAATCCTACCTAATAAAAGAGCAATATGCAAATTAACCATCACTCCGCTACACCCACAAGCCACCCCATCACCCAATCAGAGCGAGTATGCAAATTAACCCCAATCAAGATGGCTGAGGCCACAGAGAACAAGAAAGAGCTTGGGTTACCCTGGCAATGGAGGAAGCCAAGCTTTCCACACACCTTGGAGGGCCCAGGCCTCCACTCAAGGGTACAAAGTTTCAATTGTAAAAGGTAAATAAATCCCAGATACCAGGGCCTCCGCTTGGGTTGCCAAAGGGCATGGCTGGCCTACAAAGCACCACAGGCCCCTTGCCCAAGCGGCCCCATACCCCAAGGGAACCCCCAC